ACCTGCTCTGTGGCCTGGCTTCTAATCCCTGCGCTTTCTCGTGGCTCCGGTTCTATACTCCATAAATCAAGTAAACAACAGTTTAGTGCAGTGGCGTCCAACAGGGGGCCTGCGGGTGATTTTATCCGGCCCAAGTCCATTTCCAACATTCCAGCTTCCACTCCCTCCCTTCCTGATGACGGGGGGGGGGGGGGAGAGGGAGGGAGAGAGGGGGAGGGAAGAAGGGATAAACTTGACTGACAGACTGCAGTAACGGCAGGTATTATTTTCACTCTCCGCGCTGCATCCTCCTGCCACTGCCCTGGGTGGATGTTCACCAGGGAGGGAGGGAGCTGAATTTGGAATGTTGGAAATGGTCTTGGGACGGATTAAGTCACTGGTCAGGCTGGTCAGCCGCGGGCCTTTCTCAAATAGGGAATCCAGCCCGTGCAGCCAAAAGGTTGGACCAACCTGGTTTAGAGGATGATTTATAAATAATAATAATCCTTACATTTGATGCAGCACCTTTCAAATTGGGAGGATGTCTCAGAGTGTTTTACAGGATTACTGTAGGCCATCATGGTAGCCAATTTGTTTACAGCAATCCCACAAACAGCCATGCAGTGAATGAATCTTTTATTTATTTATATGGGAATTGTTCACCAAAAGGATTTAGAGGCAGAATGAGGTGGTTAAAGGATAGAGGGATGCTTGCAAATTCATCACTTAATAATAAGCCTTGCAAACGATATCATGGCTTATGCCTCAAAACACTTCACTGGATATAACATGAAGTGTATTTACTGTATCTTTTGTGGTTTATTTGGTGGATGGTTGGCCAGGACAATGGGGAGAAACTCCCTTCCTTTATTGAATAGCACCATGAGACTTTTGACATCCATCTGAACAGGAACAGACGGGATCTGGTTTAAATCCTATCTGAAGGACGGCATCAACACACCCCCAGCACTGCATTGGAGTGTTATCTTAGACTATGTGATTCCAAATTCTGACGTGGCACTTGAACCCACAACCTTCTGACTCAGAGGCTTGAATGCTACCACTGAGCCAAGCTGATACACAGCAACTGAGCCAGGCTGATACACAGCGACTGAGCCAGGCTGACACACACGACTGAGCCAGGCTGACACACAGCGACTGAGCCAGGCTGATACACAGCGACTGAGCCAGGCTGACACACAGCGTCTGAGCCAGGCTGACACACAGCGACTGAGCCAGGCTGACACACAGCGACTGAGCCAGGCTGACACACAGCGACTGAGCCAAGCTGATACACAGCAACTGAGCCAGGCTGATACACAGCGACTGAGCCAGGCTGACACACACGACTGAGCCAGGCTGACACACAGCGACTGAGCCAGGCTGATACACAGCGACTGAGCCAGGCTGACACACAGCGACTGAGCCAGGCTGACACACAGCGACTGAGCCAGGCTGACACACAGCGACTGAGCCAGGCTGACACACAGGGACTGAGCCAGGCTGACACACAGGGACTGAGCCAGGCTGACACACAGCGACTGAGCCAGGCTGACACACAGCGACTGAGCCAGGCTGACACACAGCGACTGAGCCAGGCTGACACACAGCGACTGAGCCAGGCTGACACACAGCGACTGAGCCAAGCTGACACACAGAGACTGAGCCAGGCTGACACACAGCGACTGAGCCAGGCTGACACACAGCGACTGAGCCAAGCTGACATACAGAGACTGAGCCAGGCTGACACACAGCCACTGAGCCAGGCTGACACACAGCGACTGAGCCAGGCTGACACACAGCGACTGAGCCAGGCTGACACACAGCGACTGAGCCAAGCTGACACACAGAGACTGAGCCAGGCTGACACACAGCGACTGAGCCAGGCTGACACACAGCGACTGAGCCAGGCTGACACACAGCGACTGAGCCAGGCTGACACACAGCGACTGAGCCAGGCTGACACACAAACCATTACTCCAGAAAGCAATTCACCAATCAACTAACAGCTGGGTTGCTACTTACTGCTAAGTAAACAGATGCATTTGGACTAAGGAAACTTGACTAAGGTTTCACCCTGTCTGGGAATTGAACATGGGTTCTCTCGCTTGCGAGGCGAGTGCTCTAATTAATACGCTACAGGATTTCTCAAAAAAGAAATAGTGAAAGAAAAAAACTGAAATGGAAAAAACAAAATGAAAACGAATGAAAGAAAAATTAAGGGAATGAATTAGTAAGGAGACAGAAAGATTAAAAGAACTAGAGAAAGAATGAACAAATGAGAGAGAGATCGAACAAACAAGAGAATAAGAGAGAGAGAAACAGAGAAGGAGAGTGAGAAACAGAGAGAGAGAGAGACAGAGACGGGGCCAGACATTGAATAGAATTAATTAGTTTTTAAAGATCTCAAGATCACAAAAAAGCAGTGAAAGGATTATATAAGTAAAAGATTAGCTGGTGGCGCAATTCACCAATGATATCTGATTAGAGTGAAATAAAAAGAAGCTAAATCTCAGAAATTTAAAAAGGATTTTCTGAGAACAGAACAGATTTTTAAAGCATTAAATCTGAATTCAATTTTTTTAAAAAAAGATAATCTTTTTAAAAAGCATTGCTATAATTGCTGGATGAAGTATTGTGAAGCATTGCCGCTGGAGACAGAAAGCTCCCATTATATCTCTTCATTATTTTAATTGGCTAATGGTCCCCAGAGAGACGGCAGAATGAGCATGGTATTCACACATGCAGATCAGTAACATTGTTGATATTCAGTCACTGCTACTCTTGACTCTTCATCGGTTTACATGTGTCTATGTGTGTGCACATCTATCTGTGTTGATGTTTGTGTGCGAATCAGTGTGAGTGTATCTGTGTGTGTGCACATCTATCTGTGGTTATGAGTGTACATGTTGTCATGGTAACCCTATTGCAGTCTTTTGTAATATGATGTGGCATTCACATCATATGATGGGCGGAGCCACGCACCTATAAAAAGCAACGCTCGGCGCTCCTCATGGTCGCTAACTAATCGTCGTCATCCAGTACGTACTGACACGTGCAGGACGACTGTACAGTCAGAGTTGGTTTAATATCTCTATACTAATGTAGTATTGTGCTGCTAGTTTATACAGTTATGTGGGACAGTTATATTTGATCCCATTATTGTATATCTTCCATTGTTGTGTTCCTTATATGTAAGGTAGCCTAGGGTTGCTAGGTCTTAATAAACTGCTGTTGCATTTTACCGAATGTAATAATCGTAATAATCATAATAATCCTTGTATTTGATATAGCACTTTTCATGTCTTCTAGACGTCTCAAAGCGCTTCACAGAATATGTTGTAAAGTGAATTGACTGTATACTTGTGGGCGAAACGCGGCAGCCAATTGCGCACAGCAGTGTCCCACAAACAGTTGTGGATTGAAAATGACCAATTTATTATTGTTTTTGTTTCTTGGAGGGATTATTATGTATTATGTACTCGCGAGTCTGTAATATTCTAAAACAAGAACAGGAGTAAGCACTTCAGAGAGTAGTTGTTAACAGCGGAGTTCTGCTAGTGCGCGCTGACTCCAATTAGACATTCCAGTTACTAGGCATTGGAGTTAACTGGGAATACCGGTCTGTGTGTGACTCTGACTCGGTTGAACCCCCTTTGAAACGGACTCACTGACAGGGTTAGCAGAGAGCAGAGGCCACTTAGCACAAAAGCATTACTAAAATTTGCACGTACATTAAGGAGTGAGAACACTGTGTATCAGTGTGTGTGAGCGTATACACATCTGCGTGTATGTGTGTGCATCAGTGTGTGTGTGCATGTGTGTACGCATGTATTTATCTGCACGCACATGTGTACATATTGGTGTGCGTGTGTACACCTACCTGTGCATGTGTATGTGTAAACGTTTGCACAGTAAGTGTCTATATTCTGGGTGTGCATCTGCATGTATTTATGTCTGTGTGCGTGCTTTATGTACTGTAAAATCTAAGTTTACATTTTAAATGCAAACACAGAAGCCCATTGCACACAGCAACATCTCACAAACAGCCATGAAGTGAGTAACCAATTTTATCTGAAGCATTGTTGGCCATGGCACCAGGACAGAGAAATTCCCTCTTTTCCAAAAGCAATGCGGGTCTTTAACATCCACCCAAACAAGCTGACAGGTCCTCAATTTACCATCTGACCCAAAGGATGGCACTTCCGACAATGCAGCGCTCCCCCAGCACTAAGAATCTTTCAAAGATCAGCGGCTGCTGAGGAGCAATGATCGGAACCATTGGTGGGAATGATATCATCCTGACAGCCCTGCAGTGCAGGTGGCGCTCAGCCAGTCTGATGCAGCGATGTACAGTAAACATCCACCGTAGAGCCTGAGTGCAATTACAAATTCAATATTATAGACAAAGTTAAAAAGGTGGAGAGCCAGTGAACCATGTAAAATACCCTCACACATCACTGCAGTGACAAAGCAATCATTCAGCAAGAGGCTGGTATTGATCCTGCTGTCAACGTCTTCCCTCCCCCAACAGCTCACACATATCAGGGCACATAAAAAGCCAAAATTTATTTATTATGAGAATCCTTCCATTTGATAAGTCACAAGTTACAAGAGTTCTGTGACTGTGTATTTTGTGAGTGAAAGCAGCAGCAATGTGCCACAAACAGCTGTGAAATAAATGAATGACTAATTTTATCTGGTGGACTGTTGGCCAGGACATCAGGAGAGAGAAACTCCCTTCCTTTTCAAATAGTACCATTGAAATTTAACCGAATCAGGCACAAATGGGACCTCAGTTTAACCTTTCCTTAGAATGATGGCAGCTCTGACAATGCAGCGCTCCTCACAGCATTGCGCTGATGCGTCAACCTAGAGTGCGAGCCCAGAATCCTGATGTCTGGGTTGAATCCACAACGCTTGGATAGAACACATAGAACATAAACTACATGTGAACAATGAACTGAACTCCAACTGAAGAGCAGCCTGGTGTCAGCCCCTGCTGCGCTCAGCGCTAGTACCTTCAGTGTTCTCGTCGGGGCCCAGCCTGTGCCGTCGATGGAGTGCTCCCTCAGCAAACTGCAATACAGGAACACACATCACCATCAGGCGGGGACAACCGGGGAGACAATTCACTGCAATCAGTGACGCACAAAGACCATACAGAACCAAAACAGGCCATTCAGCCCAAATAGTCTGTGCCCGTGTTCACTGTACTGTTTACTACATTGTACCTCCCGCATCCCTCTATTCCCAGGTTAATCACCCACATCCAGGCCCCAAACACCCAACTCCAGGCAAATGCACCAGCTGATATACAATCTGGATCATGTGGGATTCACAGAGCAATTGGCAGCAGGGATGAGAGGCTGAATGACAGAGAGCAACTGGTTATGTTGGAGATGTGCTCTCCAGCTTGAGGGTCTTACATTCTGACAGTGACAGGAAGTGGCTTTTCCCTGGTGGTGACCTCAGTTATCATTTTTACATTTGTTTTAAAAACATTTAATCAAACTTTTGGCTCCTCTACTGTGTTCTCCTCTGGGGAGAGGGAACCATCCCTGCTCTCTCTCTTCTCTCTCTGTAGGTGAGGTCCCTGCTCTCTGAAACTCTGAGGTTTGGGACGACAGCTGCTTGAAGGCGTAACCTAGAGTCTGAGTTTTTGAACATGTTCATACATCCAGCGCCTGGAATCCCCCTTGATTGGCCTGCAGAGAAGCAAGCAGCTGCTGCTTAAACTCGACACCCACAATTGGTGGAACCATCGCTCAATGGGAAGGGATGTGTGCCCCGAGCTGTGGTCAGGAAGATGGTGACAATGCTCTCACGCATTTTATGTTTAAATGCAATGAGGCTGGTGTCCCATGAACTTTGACACTTCACCACGGTCTGCATCTTGTCTGCATCAGCACTTGGCATCCTCCAGCACTGCAGCAATGTCGATGGTGTGAGGTCATCCAAAGAGAGAGACAACATGCCCCCCACCCCCTCCCAATTTTACAGTTCAATGGCCGCCTTCTGTCACACAATTTGCAAATTTTCTGTTCTGTTCTTTCTTAACTCCCAGTTATCTCTGCTCTTGACCACGTTTTAGAGTAGTGAATTGTGAACCCAAATACTCAACATTTGGAAGCCATTTATCCTCGTCATGTTTTGCAAGTTTATAAGTAGACTTTTGCCTATTTCTAATTTTAAATCGGGTAAAAAAATATATATTTTTTCGGATTTCCAAATTTTGACATATGTAGGAAAACATCATTAAACATCGGAGTCATCTTGAAAGGCCACAGAAGCTTAGCATTGCCTGTTTTATATTAGCCTGACTCAGACACACAGCTCTTCCTCTGCTCTGGCTCACTGTAAAGCAGCGTGAGCAACAAAAGACATCTGAGTCATTCCATCAACACATGATCATGGCTCTGCAGGAGGCACACAACAGGCAGGTAACAAGTTATCGGCATCTACAATCCCAGAGCAAGCAATACCTGAGGCAGATTTCTCCAGTCTCTGATATATTAGGGTGCCAGATTCTGGTCAAGCACTTGACTTTGGGAGGCTGTGGGGAAAGCAGGAAGATAAGGTTACGTGACTGTGAATTGTATCTGCTGTATCCTGGGATCAGACAAAAAAAAACATGGCATCCAGAGTGGCTGCCAGATTTCCTCAGTCAAGAGCACGTCAAATTCACACGCAAAATGGAAACTGGAGAAGAATTTATGTAAAGAGGATAATGTGAAGTGGGAAACAGTAGGAAATGGGATTAGAGTAGAGAGCTCCAGTGCGGAGCTGGTGGAATCAGTCTCAGCTCCTCACTGAACAGCAGTGGAAGGAAAGCACCACGTTATAATACAGTCAATAAGTGTATACAAGTGTTTACAGTATATCCTGTGAAGCGCTTTGAGACATCTCAATGACGTGATAAGGTGCTACATCAAAGTCAAGATTTATTATATTTCTTACTTTGATACAACCCAGCATTTGGTTTGCAGTTGAGTCCCACTCACCTGCAAAGCCCTTTGATGAAGTGTCCCCGACAGGGAGCTATAGATCCTGCCCGGGGAGAGGAGGGGTTATGCGTTTCAAATCAAGAGCAACATGGAATGGTGGGGTGACACTGCAGAGGGAACGCGACTCCACAGGTTTTACTGTAAAACATCTCAGGTTATTATTCTTTGGTCGCGACTGAGATGAGCAGTGACGGGGTCACTTGGGTGATTCTGGCAGTAGAGGGGGGAGGAGAGAGTACCAGTGATGTGGCAATGTGGCTACTGACAAATACTCCAAATTTGCCTCTCTGAGCCCAGCTCCTGTGCCATGGATTTGCTAAATGTGAACTCGTTGCTATAAAAGGAAATGCAATATCGGGGATCAGGAGCTGAGCGGAAGCAAACAGTTTAATAAGGAGGATGCTGGTGGCACAAATACGAAGGCAGCATCCATCATCTGCTGTTCATCTGATTAAAAGGTGCTGTCTGCTCACTGCTCTGGGTTCTGTGTGGGCAGAGCAAACTCATCCCATTCCCCAGGAGCAGTGCGGTGCTGGGGCGAGCATATGGACTGAAAGTGAGCTCATGCCTTTGCCTCCTCCATCCCCAGCACAACTCAGGAGCGCAAGACCGTTTAGGACTTTGAGATGATAAATGGGGAGTTGGGAAAGCTCTGTCCCAGTTGACAGCTTTGTGATGAGATGTTAAAATCAAGATCCCATCAACCTGTTCAGGACAGATGTTAAGGGCATTATTGTAAGACACGAGAGAGTTTCTCTCAGTTCCCTGGCTGAAAATATTCATTCACCTCTTGGTCTGTGGGACACTTACCTAAAAAATAGTGACTACACTTTACAGAAAACTCTGTGGAGTTGTTGCTCTATCAAATAGAAATAATTTTTTCTCTTTTTTCCCATCGTCATTATATTGATTCACTTTGTTTCCACGAACGTTTTTTCCTCCAGGCCCCGCACTGTCTTGTGCGGTGTCCCTCAGGGCTCTGTCCTCGGTCCCCTCCTCTTCACCCTCTATACGCTCCCCCTGTGGTGACATCATCTGCAGACATGGGGTTAACTTCCACATGTATGCGGATGACACCCAACTCTACCTTTCCTCCTCTACTCTCAACTCCACGACCACCGATGTCCTGACAGCTGCCTGTCCGACATCGAGTCCTGGACGAGAGACAACTTTCTTCAGCTCAATGTGCGCAAAACTGAGGCCCTCCTGATTGGCTCACGTCAGCGCCTCCGCACCTCAGGCGCTGACAGCCTCAGCATCCAAGGCTGCACTCTCCACCTCTCAAAGCCAGTCAGGAACCTCGGCGTTCTGTTCGACCCTGAGCTGTCCTTTCTTCCTCATATCCGCATCACCTCCGGAATGTCGCCAGACTACGGCACTACCTCACCCCTCACGCGGCTGAAACTCTGGTCCACGCCTTTTATCACCTCAAGGCTGGACTATAATAATAATAATAATAATCCTTGCATTTGATATAGCGCTTTTCACGTCGGGAGGACGTCCCAAAGCGCTTCACAGAATATACTGTAAAGTGAATTGACTGTATATTTGTGGGCGAACGCGGCAGCCAATTGCGCACAGCAATGTCCCACAAACAGTCATGGATTGAAAACGACCAATTTATTATTGTTTTTGGTTTTGGAGGGATTATTATTAGGCTCTGTGTGGAGTAAGGAAACTTGCCCAAGGTTTCGCCCTCTGCCTGGAATTGAACTCAGGTCTCTCGCTTGCAAAGCGAGTGCTCTAACCACTTAGCTACAGGACTCTCTCCTCGCCGGTCTTCCCGGCTCCTCCCTCCACACTGCAGGTCATTCAGAACTCTGCAGCTCGTGTACTGTCCCGCACCAGACACCGCGACCACATCACTCCCACCCTCGCTTGCCTCCACTGGCTCCCCATCCCCCAGAGGATTGATTTCAAGATCCTCACCTACAAGGCCATTCACGGCCTTGCTCCCTCCTACCTCTCCGACCTACTATCCCCCTACCTACCTGCCCGTACCCTCCGTTCCTCTGGCTCCGGTCTGCTCCACATCCCCCGCCCCAACCGCCCTATCATCGGTGGCCGGGCCTTCAGCCTCTCAGCCCCGAGGCTCTGGAACTCTATCCCCCAGTGCCTTCGCCGCTTCCTCCCTTTCCTCCTTCAAGGCCGGTCTCAAGACCTTTCTCTTTGACCGTGCCTTCAGCTCCCCTCTCGACTCTCTACCCCCTCCTTGCCCCCTCCCTTCCCTCCCCTCACCCTGACCATTTCCCCCCCTGCTCGGGTCCTGACCCAACTGTACAGTGCCTTGGGATGTCCTCCCGACATGAAAGGCGCTCTATAAATGGAATCTTGTTGTTGTTGTTGTTGAAGTGAATTTGAGCAGAAATGCAGTGAATGGACTGCTGAGGATACAACAGTGAAAGCAATAGACAGGCGTTTCTGCAACCAAAGACGTGACTCTTGCATGGTATGTTGCTTCCCTGGTGCCAGGTTTGAAGGTGGCACCAGGGAGGCAACAGGTGCAAAACATTCTACAGGGGGAAGGGGAACTTCCAGAAGTTGTGGTCCATGTTGAGATCCATGAAGTAGGGAAAAAAGGGCCTGAGAGGGAGAGTATCAGAAGCTAGGGAAAAACCTAAAGAGTAGGACTTCAAAGGTGGGATCTCTGGATTACTCCCAGTGACTCGTGCAAGTGAGTATCAAAACAGCAGGATCAAACACACAAATGCATGGCTGGAGAAATGGTTCAGAAGAGGGCTTCAGGTTCCTGCATCAATGGAATGTTCTGGGGCAGGTGGGGCCAACAAAGTGGATGGGTTACACCTGAACAGAGCTGGGACCAATGTCCTCGCAAAGAGGACTGTGCTGTGGGGAAGAGTTTAAACTAATTTGGAGAGGGAAAGGAATCAGGATGTAGCATCAGGGAGGAGAAACAAGTTACATTGTGGGCTGGGAGCGATGAATAGCAATGTACTAAGGAGTAATCCAGAAAAAGGAGGGATTATATGGGGAAAAATGCAGAGCAGACTCAGTTGGTCTTGGAGTGCATGTGCGTTGGTAGAAAAGGTTGATTTTAATATAGTTTGTAAGAGTAGAGAATAATTAATAGTGAATATGTATATCAAGACCCATATATGCATGATGGTAGTAAGCAAGGAAAGAAACTGTTAGTTGTAATTAGAAACTATTTTTCTAACATTTTAAGAATTTGCAAAATAAACCATCCTGGTTCTAAAAGGTCAATGGTTAGTCAGTTGTGATGGTGAGAGAAGGCATAGAACAGGCTTCAAAAGGGCACAATAAATCTGCATTCCATTAGGGCACCTAAGTAAAACTGCTCAGTATTCTGTGAACACATGATGATTACATTAAATATTTCTACCAAACAGAGACAGGTTCTGGCCTTGGAAGGGAGAAGCAAGATGTCATGTGTTGAAGAATAATGGGCAAGCTGCTTTGTCTCAAAAGGGTCTGCTTATCTAAAGGATGTGCAAGGGTTGAGTAAGTTGGGTATGTGCTAAGATGCTTGATTGGAGAAGGGGGGGCGGGAAGCATAACTATCCTGACTTTAGGCAAGTGAGGCAGCAGATCCAGCCAGACAAAGTGGGCAGCTGAACCATCGGAGAGAACGTGTGCTGAAACCATCGCAACTGACTGACTGCTCCAAAACTGGTAGTATACGTTCTGTTACTTGTAGTGGCAGTATTATTTTACTAGTTTTGTATGTGTTACTTTGATTAATAAATCTCTTTTACACCTTAATTGGATTGTTGGGTTATTATTTGAACCTCAGGATAGGAAATCCCAACAGCGTAAATGCACAGAGTGTGGCAAATAAGATGGGTGAGCAGCGGCTCAAGTTGCCACATGGGGTTATGATGTAGTGGCAATAACAAGAGACCTGGTTTAAACAAGGGCAGGAATGGGAGCTGAATATTCCTGGCTACATTGTATTCAGGAGGGATTGGGAAGGAAAAAAAAGAGGATTGGTGGCAATATTGATTAAAGATATGGTTACGGCCCTGGAAAGGGATGATGTGTTGGAGGGGTCCAAAAACAGAATCTATTTGTTTTTTGAGTTAAGGTGCACAAAAGGAGCTGTTGCTCTGTTAGGTGTATTCTATAGACAACCAAGCAGATAGATAAGCAAATCTGCAAGCAGATTTCAGAAAGTATGCAAAACCAGTAAGAGTAGTGATAATGGGGGACTTCAATTATTCTAACATAGAGTGGCAAAATAACAGTCTAAAGGATCTAGAATGAAATGGGGCAAGTGGAGTAGGTTTCAGTAGGAGAGCATCTGGACAACAGTGACCACAATATCACTAGCTTTAGAGTATTATGGAAAGGGACAAGGACCAATCAAAAGTGAAGGTACTCAACTGGAAGAGGGCTAATTTCAGTGAAATAAAAAGGGGCCCAGCCAAGGTGAACTGGAAAGAAAGATTGGCAGGTAAAATAGCTAACGAGCAATGGGAAGCCTTCAAGGAGGAGATAGTTCGGGGACAGACCAAATACATTCTCAGAAAGGTATGGCGTCCAGACCTCCCTGGGTGAGTAAGGAAAT